TTGCTATTCCATGAGGGGTAATCCACACTCAAGTAAAGAGCAAGGTCGCTCTGATACCATTGTAACACTAGGGTTTAGAGAGAAGTTCACTCGAAGATAGAAACGTAAACTCTGAAGATGAGAGATACCAACAATGGTTCTCCTCTCCCTTATATAGCTCTCACCAACAAGTACAAGGTGATAAGATCTAATCCCCACCATCCATCCCACTCCTAGTGGATGGATGACGTGGCGGATAACCCTAACAAGCACACGGATTGCTGACGTGGCGCACCCAACTAACACACTAACTAACACACTCAATCCTTACCTACAAGCACACGGATTGCTGACGTGGCACTGTCAACTAACACATCCACTCTGTACCTACCAAGTGCGCGGATCGCTGATGTGGCAGCTATGACTAGTGCACACTAAAGTATCTACAACCATATTCAGAGTAACCTCTACTTTAGTTCTAACTAACTAAAGATGGTTACATGAAGGCAGCTCTAGGCATCTACTTGGGCATCTTTGGCAGACAATCTGTGATTATCCCAGACCCCGCCAAAGCCAAGGCCTTGGCCGCCAGCAAGAAGAAGAGAAAGGATGCGCCACTAGAGGCTGTTGTTGTAAAACAGCCAGCGGTGAAAATATCTCTTGTGCTAACTCTCTACTTGTGTGTTCGTTTCCGTCTTCCATAAAACTTGGTTCAAACTAAGAAGTTCGTGATCACCGTGATGCCTGACGACCAGAATCAGCAGAACATCACAATTGGTTCAAACGTTGCTCAGTCAGCCGCTGTTCACATCTCAAATATGGCAGCTGGCCCCAACATTCAACTTGACAGCTCTCAATCAATCGCATCAGATCAGGCTGCTACGCCTGTTGTAGCACCTGTTGTTGCCCCATGGTACAGCTGATGCTGCCACCCAGACACATGTTACTGATAACCAAAAGGCTGCAAAGAAACCAAAGTGTGACCATGCTGCAACAGAAGCCAACCGGCAATTCAAATCAGCTTGGACTATCTTGTATACTTGGCTGCATTTCAACGACACTACAAACGTTGCACACTGTGAGGTGTGTAGAAAAGCCGGTTTTAAAAGTGGTATAGCAATCGGCACATCTATGCTCAAGCTTGACACTTGTAAAACACACGCTAACACAATAGCTCATAAGAACGGCTAGCTTCAATGCAACAAGATGAACCTCCAAGAAGCTGATTGGTATAAATCCCAGTGGGTGACATCATCTTTGTTAGATTTAACTTGCTTTTGCTATTGCCCGCTGCCATTGGATCCCGCTTGCTAGGGTCCAAGCTGCTGACCTTATCTTGCTGCTTCAGGCCCTTCCGTCAACTCCAGCAACAAGACATTTAGACTGCCATCAACGCCACACATAACAATGCAAAACGCAAGAAGCTGATTCAGCTTCAAGCAATTGTTTACCTTTTGCTCAAGGGCCGTCCAATGAGCGAGTAAGTCTTTCATGTGGGCTATTGCTAGTAGTCCACCCGGCCTCTGTATCAAATGTGCAACCTACTGCCTCCAGAACACAACGCTCTTGCTATTAGCTCGTCAACTAGGTGGCTCCCGCCATGTTGCCAGTTCATTGTGCAGCCCATAACATTGCTATTGTGGGTGGTGTATTCAGCGAGGATACTCTATACGCACAGATCAAGGCAGCCGTCAAGGATGCTCATTCGTACTTTGCTAGATCACCTCAACGTTGAACTGGCTTCAAGTATCATGCAGATGCTTGCAACACACCCGGGTTGCACATGCTCCGAGTGCATGATGTTAGATGGCTATCTGTGAAAGGAAGCTTGTCGAACATCATCACAGAGTATGCATACCTCTTTAGCGCCTTGCGCGATGACATGACCTCCAAAAATTCTAACAAGAAAATCAAACTAACTGCCGAGAAGCTACCTGCGCAGTTCATGGAGATCGATACCATGCTTGGCTGCCGGGTCTTCATACGGCAATTTGAGTTGTTGCTATACCTTAACAAATTCTGTTAGCATCGGAATGTGCTGTTTGATCAGCTGCGTGTACAGTTTGACGACACATCAATGACATTGAAGCAAGAATATTAAGAGGGCGACAAGATGTTCACAAGCAAAATGTGGAAGGACTTTGTTGAGCTAATTGATGACGGAGAGGGTAGGAAGCTTAGTCCGTCGTGCTGGAATGATGATGACACTTTGCAGTTTGACACCAATGTCAAGGAGTATAATGTGCCCATGCACGACATCACCAACACATTCACAGTGCTTGGGGCTAGAGCAAATCACCACACAAAAATTACCATGGTGACTGAGAGTTGCTTTCATGCAGCATAGAGTCGTGCAAAGAAATGAACTACAAACACTGCCAAGCTGTTAGTGGCTGACCTCAAAATGAGATTTTCTCGGGTTGAAGTGCTTGAGGTCTTTGCTGTTTTGCAACTAGCTTATTGACTAAACAAGCCTTCTAGTGAAGATATTAATATCAAGCTGAACATCTTAAAAAACAAATATGGGAAGATCACCAAACTGGCTAATGAAAAAGAAGTGCCAGCCTTAGTAGATCAAACTGAGGTACAGTTGCTGGAGGATAGCTTCAAGACTCTCATGCAAAATGTTGTGGAGGAGAGCAGCCATTGAGGCACAACCCAGTCATTTTGGAACAATATCCTAGGAAATGACATCTTGTCGCACACATCAAGTGCTTTCTACAAATTGACATCAATTATGCTAGTTATCCCAATAGGCTCTATGGAGAACGAGCGTGTGTTTTATGCTATGAACTACATCAAAGACAAAAAGTGCAATTGCATAGGGCCAAAGCACCTCAATGTATGCGTTCGAGTTAAGCAATTGTCGTACACAATGCACAGCTTCCCACATCTAGTTGCGTTGGCAAAATGGGAGGCAGCCAAAGAGCGCCGCATGTACTAGGAGGAATCGATAGCCAAGCGGGTTAGACTAGTACAGCGTAGTAACGTGTCTAACTTTCCTATGTGCAGAAAAATTGTTTTATGGCTGCAGTATTTGGATGAAAGCCAACCAAAACACCACAAAGAGTGTGGCGGCAGATTTTTAATGCAATGGAATCAAAACGCCACATGTGGCTGAAACAAAAATAATAAATTTGTATCCAACAGCCATAGCGTGGCGAGTTCAATATTAATAAAGCGGGGGACAAAACGCCACAAGTTGCATTTTGAAAATAAACCTAAACGAAGCACTGCTCGAGCAGTGGTGTCCTTCATCCGGCGCAATAGGGCAGCATCGCGGTTAGCGGGCCGGCCGCAGCGCCCGTCCTCGCGGGTAGGGCAGACTGCAGATCGCCGGATGCGGTAGTGAGCGGAACGTAGTTGTTGCTAACGTGGTTGTGATCAAACATGATTGAGTGAACGTGGTTGGGGGCAAAAGTGGTTGGGCTGAACGTGGTCATAGTCGTTGTCGGATTGAACGTGGTTACAGTTGAGATCGTGGTCGGACTCAACATGGTGCTAGTCGTGGTCGGAGATCTAACGTAGTCATAGTCGGTGGTTAACCATGGTCGGCAGGACAACGCATTCACGGCCGACTGACGGTGACGTTAAGGAACAACGGTGAATGAATATTCAATCATAAATATTTTTTAGAGATATTTTTTCATCAAAATATAGGCAAATTGGATATAGTGCATGTGTACATTTTTCATGAGCTGAACAATGACTCAAAAGTAGAAAATTGACTCGGAAGTCAGTCGCGAGCAACGTAGTTGCGGATTACAGACGATGAGTTGCGGGCAACAATGAGAGTTAGTTGCGGGTGACGATGATGATCAATCGCAAGCGACAGTTGCGGGCACGGTGACGGTTAGTCACGGACAACTGTCAGTTGTTGACGATAGTCACGTGCGACACGTGATGGTCTGATAGGGAGGTACCTACTTCTCTCGAATCTCATCCGGATTCTGCGTTGTCATTTGCATTTTGAAGTCATGGATAGTCAAATTGAGAAGCTACTAACAGATTCTGTTCGGCGAATATTGGAGCATGCGGATTTAAACATCACAAACATACAAAAAGTTTTGTTATTTGCCGCGGAGGACAGTGGTCTAGATTCAAAATTACATGAGTATGAGAATGTGGCGAAAAATGTTATTCACAAATTTTTTTGCAAGAATGCACAAGTAACACCTTGGTTGAATATGCCCATAGCGCTTAAGCAGAAGATGCAGAAATATCATAGGAAGCTGAGACATCGATTTGTAGTATTTGCTTGGATGTTGTTTTCGTCCACGGTGGAGATTGATCAATTACAAAACTTGTATGCGGGCTAGGTACCGGGCATGGGGAGGGGCACGAAAATTCTGCCGTGCCTCCCCTCTGATTGGATGCAAGCATCATAGATAGATTGAAAGTAATTGGAGCACTTGAACCCCTGATTGTTGACATCCAGCGACCAACGACTGCGACTCCTGCCTCCCAGAAGTCCCCGTTCCTCTGATTGGATGAAGCATCATAGATAGGTTGAATGTAATTGGAGCGCTTGAACCCCGGATTGTTGACATCCAGCGACCAGCGACTGCGACTCTTTCCTCCCAGAAGTTCATGCTCCCACCAACGCACCTACGCAACAACGCCAACACCACAAAGCAATAGCAACAGCAACCGCGACAACAAGGATGGCCGACAGCAAACACCACCACTGCCACAAACTTTCTGGCCAATGGCGCAGCTGAAGCCCCGCATACTAGCTGGCGTACTCCAGACTTGAGTATATTCAACGAGCGCTGGAGCCGATTCTGGCGGTCGTCGCAGAAAGTGTAAGGCAACCGCTATAAGGCTCGCTGTTCCCGTTGCTCGGAGTTACTCCAAGGAAAGCCTAAACGACTTCAACACCATGTTTTTGCGTGTTCTTCGTGGTCTGCCACAACAAAGTAAGCATACCTTAAGGCTTGCAAGCCACTAGCGGGTCGTAACGTAAAGAAGCGGAAGATAATGTCAGTAGCGAACAGCGGACCGGTATCGGAAGAGGACCCTGATAGCACTAACAGTGAGGCTGGTGAAGGCGCGGAAACAACGGCAGCACCTAGTTCATCGCAGCAGAACACTAAGGCGCAGCAGAATGTTCAGACCGCTGTAGGCACCTCTTCTTTGCGCGGACACTAGCCCACAATTGCGGACATGCTTCGCCCAATGGCTCCGGCAAAGCAGGAGAAAGCGCATGAAATTCTATTGAAGTGGCTGATCAACAAGAATCTCCCATTTTTTGTCATTGATGACACCTTCTTCCGTCTGTTTGTCGAGAACCTATCAGCAACGTACAACCCGCCATCAGCTGATATGATCTCCAACCGCATCCTCACGGCGTCTTTTGCCAAGCACCTTGAAGCAAAGCTCAAGAAACATGCCAAGATTCGGGACCTGACGATCTGTCTTGATGGGTGGACAGATGGGTTTGGCTACTTCATCTACGGTTTCATGGCTCTTTGGCAGGAAATTGAGCATGTTCTTGAAATCAATGACCTGTCCGCCCAAAGGCACAACGCCGATTTCCGAAAGCAAGAACTCGTCGAGGTACTCAAATTGAACGGAATCAACACAAGCTCCGTTATCGCATGTGTGACCGACAATCCATCAGTGATGGTGAAAATGCGAAACGATCTGAAGGTTAGTCAAGTTTTCATTGTCTTGCATTCTGTATTCACAAAGCAAAACTTGATCCGAACTCAAACAAAATTGTGTGATTTTAGGCCGATTTTCCGAACATCATCCCAATCAGATGCTGCTTGCATGCGTTCAACCTTCTGATCAAGGACATTACCGCGTTTCCATCACTGCTAGTCACCTGCAAATCAAACCAACAGTTGGTGAATTTTTTCCTGAGTTCGCACATTTGGCAGAACGTGCTGCAACAATGGTAGAAACAGAATGGCGTGCGGCATTTCCTCTCGACATTTTGCGAGACACGCTTGTTCTCACTAGCCAAAGTCTGCAAAGGGGTGACTGAATATGAGAAAGTTTTCTCGCACTGTTTGGAGCTAAGTGAAACCCCAGGATCGAGATATCCAAAGATCCGAGTTCCAATTGTAGGCATCATCAAGAGCCGGTACCACTTTGTCGATAATGCAACTCTAGTGGACGTCATATCTCCGGCTGTTGATGCAATTGGACGGCTTGAATCTAGCAACTCGCTCCTGGTTGATGTCTTCAAGGAGCTTTTGGTTGTCCGGCATCATATATCGTCCACCAACATTGGCATGGCTGGTTTGAAAGAGCACGCTATTGCAGCAATCAACAGGCGTGCAAGGAAATTTTTGGACCCTGTTTACTTCATTGCGCGGTTCCTTCTCCCGTCGCACAAGCACCTCGTAGTGTCAAAGAAGGAGCCCTTAAGTACGAGTTCAAGGCCAGAATTGCCAACATGAAAGTCCATAAGGCAGGAGGGCAAGAAAAAGGGCACAACGCACTGACCCCCACTATTGAGGGCGCAGGCCTCGATGTCTTTTACCAAGATTTTGACGAAGACTTGAGGTTGGAGCTCATGATGGCTGAAGAACTGGAGCCTTTGCTGCAAGCAAATGAGAATGAGCCAGAGGAAGACAGCATGGAGGAGTACTTTGTCATCGGTGATGTTGAGAGAGATCAAACAGAAAACGAAGGAGATGAAGTAGAGGAAGATGCTTAGGATGGACCCTGGTCAATAGATGACATCCAAGGACAATAAAGAAAGGAAAGGGTGCATGGTTTTCCCTACACGCGCATCATGTTCAGATTTTTGCTTCTCACGCATATGAGACATCGCATGTGGATTTTTGCTTCTCATATGCACTGGAAATTAGAGGTGTGTTTGTGATATGCATAGAGTATAATCACATCTGCAGTCTCAGAAGCTGCGCCCCCATGCCCGGGGTCACAGGGCGTGCCCGGCACCCTAATGCGGGCATTGGTTCCATTTTGATTGTATTGTTTCAGCTTTTATGGTCAAGGAGACAATGTAGTGTACTAACTGTCGGCATGTAGAAAAGGAACATTAGTTTGATGCCAACGAATAGTGGTCGAGATGACAATCCACATGTCGGAGAATCTAAATCTACAAGTACTAGATTATGTGCTTTGGCAAAAGTAAACTATGGGCTTTGAAAAGTTATAACATTTTTTGTTTTAGATATTTCTTTCAATGATACCTAGTGGGGAAGAGTGGGAGAGATTTCTCTCGCTTTTCTTCGTAACAAGAGAAAACATCTGCTCAAGGATATCCTTGTGGGAAAGCATAATGACTAAGGTAAAAATTTACTTTGGTCATTATGCTGAGTTACTAATTTTCTTTCGCACCAAAACGCGACTATAAATTATCACACTTTCTTGAGAGAAATAGTAAATCTCATGTAATTTTTGATACTTGATTTATTGTCGGAACTTTGCCATAGACTCTTTATGATAATAAATGTTAATTTCCATCAACTTTCGAGCGTCTTCAAACAATAATGAAATTTGTGTTGGCTGAGATCGCTAGAGCCATAATTATGAACTTTTCAAGTACCGACTGTACTCTGATCTCAGTGCTGAAGTATTAGTACTTGCAATCCTGCATTTAAAGTTCGTTGAGCTTGAAAAGACTTTGGGTAGAGCCTCACGAATTTTCATCTCTTTCTGGACAGCCGTCGTCTTGTAAGGTGAAGAGTTTTTTTGGTTACACCCGCTCTTTCCGAGCTTATTGTAGAAAAATGAAATAAATTAAAAGATAAATAGATTGGAAAACACAATTGTTTCTTCCGACCCAAGCATACTGCCAGCTGCCTTGTAATGCAGTCAATCTGAGAGTATTCTTTGTCAAGGGGATGTTATTGGCCCCATGTTCGACTTGATGAGGTTTTTTGAACATCGTCTTTGTTAATTTGGTATGTTAACGTATGGCCCCTTCTGCTTCGTGAGGATCATGTCGCGATTGTCGACAGAATTCAATGGAATCGGTCGACGGTGACGAAGTGCTACCGACCAGAGGAGAGCAAATGAAACTGGGATCGTTTATGTGCAAGACGCTAAGGACATTAGGGACAGAGACTCCCGTTTGAAATGTTGAATGGACAAGACGAAAGCAAAATGATCGAGTTCCAAGTTCGTGACCACCGATGTCAGACAGCAGACATGTTGCTTGCGCTTGCTCCGAACTAGTTCAGAGTAAAGGGAAGAGAGTTAAGAAAGTGTGTTTGCGTGGTGCACCTCTGTATTTGCTCTGTGGAGTTGAGATAACGAGTGCGTATGGTTCATGGCCAACCCCGTCCTCAACAATCATCACAGCACGGGACGGCATGAAGCTAAAGCGCGTCAGAGAACGAAGCGAGCTGCACGAGCAGGTTGCATTCAGGTCCCTAGCTCCTGTATATGAGCCACGTTCGGGAGGCCGAGCAGGACAGCAGTAGTGTAAAACTGGTTTCAGTCGGCTCGGGTGCGAAGTTATGAAGTGGCAGATACATCAGCAGTTACCTCGTTCGAGCATTGTGGCAGACAGCTGTTGCTGGAAGCAGGGCCTGAATTGGAATTTGGTTGACTGAGCTTAGATTTTCGAACAGAGCAGCGGGAGCGAGCTGAGGGAATCAGTGCAGCGTATGCTCGATCACTCGTGAACGTGATGCTTGACTCGCCGATCACGCCGAGATGAAGATGAAGTAGAATTCTGTTCAATACTGCCTACTCTTCAGCTTCGGCATTCACTGGACCTGCGGTGGCAAGGGCACGGCAGAGCAGGGCTGAAGAGGTGAACAGAACTGGCCGACGATTAATTGAGTTCACGCCCAGGAGCTGATCATCTCGCAGGCTGAAGCCCAGAACTTCGAGTATGGAGTTCGGAAGAGCAGACTGCATGGCCTCCTCAAGCGCCTCATCGTCCAATTCTGCCCAATTGCATACTTTCAAGTCGAAGGCTCTGCCTCGTATCAGAGTGGCAAGCTTTTATCGTCGGACAGACGGACTTTTAGAAAAGAATGTCGAGCATTTGTCGAGCAATTCCCTTAAAGGCGGAATACCAACAAGGAGAGGAATTCTGGGAACGTCTTTCCTACGTCCGAATCACGTCAGAGAGGTGAGCGGTCTAGGGTTGAAGGTGTTGGGGTGTCCCGAAGGGACTCTCTGTACGAGAAGATCATTGTCGGCCGTGTGTAAGGCGAAAAATGAGTTTGACAAAGGAAGTCCTCTGGATACGGATTCCGCACTGAGAGCAGAAGATCATGAAGGAACTTGGACGCTGGCAGCTCAAGCAGCACTATGGGCGGTGGCAGGAATTTACGTTCTCTGGCTCTTCATTCTTCCCTATGCTCCCGTAAGCCATTGGTGTTTCAGTTCAAATCCTTCATGCCTGTTAATTCTTGAACTTATCGGCGTCAAAGCACTGGATCAGTACAATGCAGTCTGCTGTGCAATTCTCATGAGAATCTCCGTTTTTGTTTCCAAACACGATTTTGGGGCTTGTTCAGGGTGATCCAGCTTGGGCTATCTCTCCCTCCACTTTACAAATGCTCATCGATCTCTCGTTGAATTTCTTCTTTGTGCTGCCCTTAACGAGTTTGCTGGCGGATACCGGTACGGCTTCTTACTAAACTACTCCGTCAATGCCCATCGATACTTTTTCGTGACATGGTTGAGAATAACGTCTGTGTAATATCCTGAACAGCTTACAGCCCAAATCTGGACTTTTGCCCATTATAATGCCTCAGAGATGGAGTCAGCTCCCTTATGAAATGGAAACATTCAGTCTGCTATGCTCACCTTTGAGGTGAACGGTGAGCATAGCAGATGGTGAGCGGTACCTTTAAACTCATATGTCCACTGTTAGACCAAGGTAGCCCCTTAGTGGATTTAAGCTCTGATGTCTTGGTCCGATATTACCGGATATGCATCTCAAAGCTGTGATAATGAAGGCACTTAGTGCGTCGGCCGGCAGAAGGGTAGCTGAACAGCCTACTTGAAGATTCTGAAGGACGTGCAAGTTGAGTCGATGCCTCAAAGGTTTCAGCTGTACACTCTTAAACATGCTTCACACGAGCTTGAGTAAGTAAGTCTTTCTAGAGGACAAAGAGAACCCGTCGACAATGAAAGGTTGAAATAGGACTGCCGTCCGGGTCTCTTCCATTCAGTATAATCAACCTTGAAGAATTTGACCTATTAACACATCCCTTTTACGAGACTTCCATTCCGAAGGTGCCCAGATGAACGAACTTGAAGTAACCCAGACGGAAATTTCCCTTTGGAGCTGAGATGATACAGGAAGTTGTTTTTTCCCACGCCAAGCTTCTAGTAGTATCTAGAACAGGAAAGATCCGAGTTTCAAGCCATACCATGTGAGAGCAGAGAGTCTAATACTCGGGGATGAATGTGGTGCTTTCTGTCACAACGTGATCTAGGATTCTGAGGGTCTGCATACCTGTAAGTATCTTCCGCTGTTTGTAGTCCGAGAGGTATGACTTGCAACCTGCAAGTCATACGTCATACGTGCTGGAGGTCCTTCCATGTGACAACACTTGTGTGTCTTTCACCAACCGCGCCTGCTCGAATATTGTCAAGACATGTGGAAGTTCTATCTGGAGAAAGAAGTGCGTATCTAAGATGCTACCGGAACTCGTGCATTCATCCAGTATCTTTCTGCAAGGGTCGGTCGAGCAGAGCTTATGTTAGATCAGCTCTGCCCCACAGGTTCTTGCTTTCGGTACTTGCACAGCGATCTGATCTGCTGGCAGGAGTCACTCAGGAGTTTATCCTTAAACCTGCGGAATAAAGCTTTTAAAATGGTTACTGAGAAGTTGATGTAATGATCGGTCTTTCTCTGTGGTGGAAATCTGATGTCGTAATTGTTTCCACCGTGCCATGGGCCCGGTCCTTTCCATCTCAGACGGGGACTGTAGCTAGAGGCCCAGAATTTTCCTCTATGTATACATCCTGGAAAGTTCTCTTTCATCTTGCCAGCTGTGGTGCCATGTTCAAAAGCCTGTAAATTTACGTGTTCTCAATTTTCGAGGTTTGCAATTGTCGAGGTGAGAAAACTGTGAAATGCGATTAACGTACGCACGTCCAGACATGCCTTTGCTGTTTCAAGCAGCTCGATGACTGAGAACACAGACTGGAAGAGTATTGTGAATTTCACCTCAACGCCGGACAAAGGTATCTGAATCATATTTGGGATTGTCCTGTATTGGCCAGAACAGTCGGAATCCACGGCCTGGCTCCTGTCTTGCATCCGGTATGTCACTCTCTGACCTGGTCCACGACGACCATTATGATTGCCAAGTATATGAACTGAAAACTCTGGCCTGGAGTGTGGACTTCGAGGCATTCTCAATGTATTATTGACGAGGGCTGGTGATCATGGTACGTAGTTTTCGGAATCGAGAATACTGATGTCATGATCTCAGTGATTGCTGTATTCGCAGATGGATGAGGGCCTCTTCAATCTCGTCATAGGCTGGACGCTGGTGTTTGCGCCGTTGCTTTTCACGGACAGAAGACGTGACAGATTGGGAGGATCTTTGGAGGGCCTGTGGTTAGTTCAAATGTTTTTGACAAATAGTAAGTTATCCGCTGCTGCTGGCGTTTTATTGATGACAAGCGTCAAGTGCGCATCTCAGGCCTCAGACGTTTAAAAGTCTTTATTGCAATGATTCCCCTGCATTATCGTCGACTACGATCTGAGTCACTTTCGAGAATATTCATATGTCATGTTTGCAGCTGTCCTTGCCCCGTACATGGCGATCAGATTGAACCGAATGAAGACGACTTCAACTCCTGTGCAATCGGAAAGCCCTCGGGAACGCCGTCTTCTGATCATCAACCGAGTTCTCACTCGAGGAGCCAAGTATGTCGGGTTTGTAGGAGCTGCGGTGGGCATCCTCTCCTTAGTGTGGGCTCTGTATGGTAGGCCTGAAGGAGGTTTCGGCGGTATTGACGAACGCTGGACGTACCTCGTGCAGTATGTAGGCAGAGAACGTCTTGCGTATGCCTTTGTGTGGGACATATGTCTGTACTGTGTCTTCCAGCCTTGGCTCATCGGGGACAATCTGAGCAACGTGAGGGCAGATCAGAGGGACACGGTACGAGTGCTTAGATTTGTCCCCTATGTGGGCCTCGTCGCGTACGCTCTCGCTCTGAGGGACGAGGTTAAGGACGTTTAGCGAACCAAAAGCTCCAACCGAAAGGGCCGGAGCCGATCGAAGATATTAGCCGAGATTCAGGACATGGAGCGAGCTTTCAGAAGGCTTGCAGTGTAGAATTAGAGCCCGTTCTTGAGGCTGTCTGTCTCGGGACATCATTGCCTCTTCACCATACAAACAAATCTGGCTGCAAGAGCAGTTGTTCATTATTGAGAGGGGATAAAGCACATCTGAAAGATGCAGACGAACCTCTACCAGACGAATGCGACTTGCTCTTCTTTCAGGGAACACAAATCTCAACAGATCTGCTGGGTGCGGACGTCTTTTTGAATAAGTGCACACTTAAGTGAAAGGAAGATGCGCTCGTCTGTAGTCCAAGATTGGCTATGTTGGAGAGATCTGATCTGGTCTTGGATTTGCCCCGGAACACCGTCGTGTCTACGTTCGATTAGACTGGCTCGCTTGCTACCGTTAACCTGAAATTCTTCTCTGGACCTCCAGAGGCAGGGAGAGAAAACGAGGTGGCCATGTGGCCAGATCGTATTGGGAGGGCGATGCGAAGCCGTTATGATTTCTGCATGACTCCTCGGTGCATCGTTCCTGTTATCTCCAGGTGTTGCGTTTGCTGGACGTGAATGCGTAGATTGCTTGTAACACAGCGGTGCAGGCCGCGAGGTCAGAAGGACTGCCCGTCAGGCATGGGCCAGTAGAAAGGAGGATTCGACGAAGTCGTTGAGTCTTCGGCATGATTAATCGTTCACATTGCCCCAGGTGGAGCAGAGGGACGGTGTTAGTGCCCATGTTCTGGAATAAAAGTGTCTGTCTGACATGAATGTCGGGCTCCTCCATAATTCCAGAAATAAAAATAAAATCTTATGTTTTTTGCGACCTTTTGTGCCGTATTGCCGTCTCTACTGCTGTCAGCTGCAGGAACCCCGGAAAGAGCAAGTGTGAGTGCCAAATGCACCATACTGCCCAAAAGGGCAGCCATCAATTAGTGGATTAGTGCGTTTCCGGGGATTTGACCTTTTTCCTCTCAATGTGGGTGCGTGGCGGCCCGCCCGATCGAACCGGCTGCAGCTCATCGTCGGGAGTCGGCCTTCTTCCAATTTGTCAACTTCTCACAGGATACGAGCTGAGCCAAGCTTGAGCCAAGCTGAGTCGGGGAAGTGAAACATAGCTCTCAGTTTTCTAAGTGTATTTTGCCATAATGGTGGAAAGGACTCGGGCCCGAATCCTGCAGAATCCCACATCCCGGCAGCCGGAGGTGGGCCAACGAGCATTGATACGTCTACGAGGCATTAGAGAATTTCGCTGCGTACGTTTTCAACGGAGGAAATCGCAAGTTTTTGTCTCTACTTTACCGACACTCAACCAAGATCTCCAAACACAATCCCTCCAGCAGCTCCCGAAGCGAAACTACGTCCTGGGCCGAGATCAGTTGTCGATGCAGTTCGGTGATTGATCCCTGCTGGATCGAGAGAGCGCCGCTGTATGTCGGTAGGTAGGTCTGCGGGTCGTCGTCGCCGGGATGGTGTATCGCGGGGCGGGGCAGAAACAGAGACTATTTTCGTGCTCACATCGGTCAACCCCTCGGGGCTCAAATACTCCGCCTTTACACAGCGAGTTGCTGGTCGGTTGCCTGTGTTGCAAATCTTGTGCGTCCAGTGGTTGCCGGTACGCAGCCCGTGGTTTTGCAATAACACTCTCGCCTTCTCGGTGCCACCGTGTACTGCAGCTCTTCTGCATTTCCCAAGACCGTCAGCTCGCTATCTATCTTCATGGTTGAATGGATATGGTTATGACAGCTCGGATTTCGTTCAAGTCAGCTTTCTTCAGCCCACCGTTGGAGCAGCAGGGCAGGTTTGCATAAACTTTTAGCTACAGCGTCGAGAACGGAATGACAGATTGCATGATTCGCCGAAGGAGGGCGCGAGGGCACTAATAGCAAGCTTAGGTACACTGACTGGCAGATTCCGCCCTTTTCCACCTAACGAGAGAGCCTTCGGCCCTAGGCGGGCTGTTGATGTCCGTCTGCTGGATGCCAATGAGTACTACAATAATGTTACTGTTTCCAGTTAATTCTAAAGGATAATCCTGGACCTCAAGAAGCGACGTATCAATGAGTGAGCCTCGAGTTTTATACTCTGCAGGAGGACCTGAGCGCACTCGTACTGCGCTGCGCTGTGCGTTGGGGCTGCACGGCGATTGATGAGGTTGATGATTGTGAGGGGAGGAGCTCCTGAGTTACCACCAGCGTAGCGTGCCTGTGTGGCTCGCGGGTCGGTCCGTCCGTCCGTCCCTGACGATTGAGTTCACGAAATCTAAAATTACTTCGCGCAGATATGGAATGTTCCTTGATCACGAATTCTGGAGTCCGGGTACTCACCGGTATGGTCTGCAGATAACGCTGGCTGCCATATGTTAGTGCTGCTGTTAAGTCTAACTCGACTGGGGCTTCGGTTTCTTGCTTCTCTCTGCGGCATTTTCTGACAGACAAACAGTGCGAGCAAATCTGTTTATACGAAAAGTACCCCTAACTGGATTCTCTCATTTCAAAGGACGAGGGGAGGACTACAGTAGTAGCTCTGAGATTGTGTACTTTTCTTGTCGTCCTTGCGGAATCTATCACGTCGGGCAAGAGACCTAGGTTCATATGATGAATTTTGTCGTGGTGCTGGGTTCCAAACAACTGTGGTATACTGTATCTTATCCATTCATATGGTAAACAAACATGAGTACAAACAGTTTGCGGAGGAGAAAATCAGCGAGTCGGGGCATTGCATGGCAGCAGCACAAGAAGAATTCAGGGCGGACCTGATTTTCTTCTGTCTCACACGCAAGTTCCGACTCATGATTATCCGTCGTCAATCACAGGCTACCGCTGTCATTTTTCCTTGTCTCCACACCTACAATCGCCTCCAAGACTTTCTTCTTGAGCCTAAGCTATTATAAGCTTCCCCTGCTCATGCTCAGCTCGTCTATCCTTCTCAGCTACTCTACTCCAGATGTGACATTAGTCTCTCCCCTGTGCGGTGGTCGGTGATATACAGCAACCTTTGGTGTTATGGCTTGACTCAAGAAAGAAAGCCGTGAATGCGCTTTTCAGGTATGTATGACATGGTAGGGCACAACCGGAAATACGAGTAAGACAGACAAGAATCTGGTGCCCGCGCAGTGGTGCTTGATCCAGCACCACTGCGCGGGGGAGAGAGAGAGAGAGAGAGTTGCGTCCAGGATCTTCCATGGTTTTGGTTGGGTTCCATGACCACAAACGAAACTATCAAGTGTTTATAAGATCAGAGCACACAAGTTCATTCATTCAGTTGCATAAAGCAGTGCAGTCTACAGAATGAGACCGGAAACAAGTGTATTAACAAAAGTGCGAGCTCGACAAGGAGGTGATAGGAGCCGATTCCAAGGTTGGTAATAGTACAAGAAAAGATCATGTATGACAAATCAGAACATCCTCAATCGTGATGCCGGCAAGTAAAATCAGGACTAGTGAAAACTGAAGCTCGCATTTCAATTTAACGACGTAAACTTATTATGAACAATCCGCCTTCTGTACACGAGTGATATCGTAAGCTTAAAAAAAAGGAAGGGCTGACTTCGGCGGGGTAGAAGTACAAGGACTATCTAAACTAACTAAATGTAAAAGAACCCAAGCAGTTTGTTCCTGAGCAACTGCGCTGGAGACGACACTCACACCAAAGCTGCGTAGCGGAGCGGTATCTAGACGAGCACCCCTTGTTGTTGAAGGTGGCTGTGAAATGATGATGATGAATCTGTCTAATTGGATTTGGACGAATGTGAAAGGTTAAAAAATTTCTCGTGTTGTCGTTGCAACACCAATCAGCCTACACAAATGTGTAGATGACTTGCATATGAAAAATCCTCGTTGGATGAAAGAAAACCAGCTCCCTCTATCGGAAGCGATCGATCGGCGAGACTCAAAAATGAGCATGCTTCTCCGCTCTGGTGTGTGTATACTGGGGGCAACATGATGTCTGCCGAGAAACGCAGTCCTGTCGGGAGGATGCTGCAGCAAAGCTTCTATCTACAATGACTACAAAGGAACTACCGTCACCATCCTCGTCTCCTCCATCATCATCATAAGCAGCAGCCAAACTTGCTCCGACTGTTCAGCACTCTGGATCTCGCCGTCGCGTGACGAGAGAGCGAGCGAGAGAGATCCTGAAAGACGAAACAAAGCAAATGGGGCCAGAAAATCAAAACAAGCGTCGTCTTCGGCATCGGCCTCCTCGAGTCGTATAACAGTGCACAAGCTCAACCCTCAGCTCGAGCTCGAGCTCCAAACACTTCAGTGACAGAATTGCGGGAACTTCATGGTCGATTGTCCGAGTCCAGCCCCGTATATACCGAGGTCCGCAGAACCCCCACCCGGCGAGATTTGAGACATGGTGGAGCAGTCCCCTTGAGCAGAGCGCACCGGCATGTAGTAAGCCGGATACGGCATGCGTGGGTCGAAACCTGCATTGCCGCACGACTCGAGAGTCTGGACTTGGAGCTTCAGGTACTTGACGTAAGATATCGCCTCGTCCAGCATGGAAGCCGTGTCCATCTTCGTCCCTCCTGGAACCAGTCTTTGCAGCACCCGAATCCGGTCGCTAATTCGTTCCCTCCGATGCCGAGCAGCCACACTTTGCGGATCCTTGGAGATTTTCACGTTGCGCCGTTTGGGTCTCGAGTTCTCGATGGCGGCAGGGTCCAGATTCGCAATGGCAGGAAAATTGGGCCCGAACAGCAAGTGATGCGGAGCCATGTTTGCCATGAGCCCGCCCTTGGCGCTGGGTCCTGCGACCTTGGTCAAATCGGCCGGCGCCCCCAGCCCTGCGAGAACCGGCTGCTGCATCTGATAAATGCTGCGGACGTTGCTGCTCATGAGGAACGGCGCGCTGGAGGGATTCACATTCATGCCATTCAGGCTCGCGGCGAGAGGCGGGGCCAGAAACGGGACTGCGAGACCTGGCGAGGCGGTCGGCGACGACGGCGGGCTCGACTTCAATTTCTTGCTGTTCCAATTCTCGCTCACGTCTAGAACCGGAGCCTCGTGCTTCCACTTCAAATCCATGCCCGATGTCGGCGGCGGCCTTTCGTTCTCCTTCACATCCTGCGGCACGAGCACTGCAATGTCCGGATTTTCCAGCGCCGTATTTTGTAACGAGGTCAGGTCGGCGGCCGCATTCGCCTCCATTACGGTCCGATCAACGAGCTGGTTCTCCATTTCTCTGAGCGAGCAATCTCTGCTGTCACTGCCGGCCTGATCTGCAGATTGGGCGCTGCCTTCGGAGCCGGGCGATGCCATGCCAATCTTGCTGCGCTGCTGGAGCAGACGCGGGGAGTTCAGAGTAATATTTGACAGCGACGGCAGCTCCGCGTTGGTGGAGCCGCCCTCGACGTATACGTCGTCGTCGAGGTCTTCTCTCGAGGCGAGCCCATCGCTCGTGGAGCTCACGGTGCTGCTGGCCGGGAGACCCCCGTCGAGCGAGCTGTCGTCGGAAATTTCCGACGGGTAGCGGCACATGCCGGGCTTGCTCTGAGCCGGCAATTCGCCGCTGAGGCGAGCCTGATTCCAGCTTCCGAATGGCATCCTATTTATGAGCTCCATGTCCGCGTCCAAGCCGAAGGTCTCGATAGCATCGTCCAAGGGCCGCACGAACTGATTGCGCTGAGTGGAGGTCACGGTGGAAAAACCGCATTTGGCCTGATCCATGTCCATTAATCCCAGAGCATCTGCGGGACTGTACTTCAAGGGCTGATTGGCGGGGAACTTCGCCTGGCCCTCCATCGCTTGAATATAGCTGGCAACGCACGACCCATTGTTGGAGTTGGCGTTGTTGTTGATCATGGTGGTCGAGTCGCCGTGAAACGGGCTTTCCATTTTGATGCCGCTCCAGAACTTGGAAGAGTCCAGAGCGGATGACAGTGGGGCGGAAAACAGTAAGTCCCCAGCGTCCATGCCTTGGATGGTGTCCATTGCAAATTGGTGCAGACGGGAGCAAGGCAGAAAGCAACGTGGTCGGAGATCAGTGAGACCCCGGCGCAGGAAAGGCACTGCACTGCACTGCACTTCGCTTCGCTTCACTCGACGTGCCGGAGGACAGTCGACTGAGCTACTCTAGAGTTCAATTGTCGATCCTGTGGCGCTACGATGCCCGGAGGAAGGCACAAGATCAAGGGAACGAGGGAACAGCTGCACTAAAATTACGAAAGAATTTCCGGTCGACGACCATACGGGGGAGATGCGATGGCAAGGTTCCTACGAGATGCTGTGGCTCGACTCAAGTCCGCCTCATTCGATCACAACACGGCTTCAGCAACCCATCTTTTCTTTCGTCCCCTTTCGCCTTCTCTGTCTTCAACCCAAGCTCTCCAAATTTTCTTCTCTCTCCCCTGAATCATCAAACTCCCGCAGCGCTGCCTCGGGAATCTCGATCTCGCGGGCGTCAGCTCCCCCGCGCTCAAATTCCAACCCACAGGCTCGCAGGGGCAAAAATACCTCGAATGCGAGCAATTGCCGCGACGGCATGCAATGCAATGCAGTGCTACGCTGTGCTATGCTCTGGCTCACTCTCGCGGCAGCAGCAGTGGATTTTTCTCTCCTTCAAGCTGGTCCCGATGATGTCCCTCTCACCGCCCGACCGAGCTGCCCTGTGACTTAAGAACACCTCCCCGTCCCCTCTCCGAGACTCTCTCTCTCTTTTTTTCTCTCTCTCTCTCTCCCTCCTCCTGCCAAGCTTAGCTCAACTGGACTACAAGTGGTGAGTGGTGTCACTGCTGTGAGCTCTCAGCTCAGACTCCCAACCTACTCGGTTGAACCCAAATATGGCTTTCTATATCTTCCTGCCTCCCTGCCTCCTCTCTTCCCCCTCCCCGTCCCCCTTCCCTTCCAGGCTCCCTTCCGCCTTTCTGCCCCGTCGCCCTCTCACAATCTTCTCTAGGACAAGTGGTTTCGCCGGGCCTTTAACTTGCTCGCCAATACCTCCCCCGCTGCGATTAGCTTCTTTTCGGGCCTGGGGGGGAGAGAGAGAGATAGAGCTCTCACGAGGGCCAATTTCGGAGAATCAATTGCTGATCGCAGGACTGATTTCCGACGTGGAACGCACTGGCTCTTCGTGGGGTTGCTTGCAGGCATCAACGCAAAGTAAGGTAGGCAACAGCAGCAGCAGCAACAGCAGGCAGGGAGCAGCAGCAGCATCAGCAGCCGACGACGCAATGAGAGACCGGGCACGAGAGTAAACTGCGTTGCGATAAAAACGGGAACGTTTCACGAATCGGAGTTCGGGCGTTGGCAGAGCCGTAAAGCTCCGCCGCGTTATATTATCCGCGTCATATGAGACAAAGATCTCCATGAAGCAGAGAGCGAAAGAGAGAAGGAGAAAGGGCGAGAACCCTCAGCTTTTCCCTTCCCGCACACCAGCCTCCGGGCGGGCGGGCGGAGTCGGGCATCGGGGGTCCGCCCTCCCACTCCGCGCAATCTTTCATCATTCCCCCACCCGGCCTGGTAAAGCTGGTGGGCGTTTCCAGCCCGCTCGGCCCCCGGCCTCCGCAGGCCATCCATCGGGTCCAGTCACGTCGCCTCCAGCTTGAGAAACGAGGTCGGATGTGTGTCAGGCCCGGTCAAGTCAGGTCAAAATCCGCACCCGGTGGATCTCCTTTCTGGCCCCGGTTTCTCCTCCTCGTCGGTCGGTCGGAACTCCGCCTTCGGCGTCCGGACGCAACTTACTTATTGTACCGGGCTGCCCAGTGCTCTGACTGCCTGCCTGCCTGCCTGACGGACTGACTGAATTCGCAAGGCGCGTGCGGACTCCGGCGGACTGGAGGGATGCGGTAGAATAATAACCCCCGCGCGAGAGGGAGGAGAGAGAGAGACAGTCAGATGGGGGGGGGGGGGGGAGGGGAGAGAGAGAGCGCCTTAAAGTGGGGGGGGGGGACTGAGTGAATGTTGGTTGAACGAGCGGAAGCTTTTGGCCACGCGTCAAAGCCTTCCTACCAAATCCAGGGTTGACTACTGGTATCGCGCATCCACGCTGGCAGAGCGGGGCATGTGCCCGCTGGAGGCCCATTGGGCGTCGACGATGTGATCCTTGTGCGCGCCCTCCGTCGGCACCTCCCGGACCGCCGACCCGTTCGTGCGACGATCGGCTCCGCCTCGGCCGTCGGCGTCCCGTCCCCCGGTGCGCGCTCGGACTAGCGGCTCGTTATCTTAGCGCAGGCAGCACGCCGGCCTTAATAATTTTAATAACAGCGCCACCATGTCCCGATTTGGCAGCCCCGGCGTGCACCGGGTCTAAAATTGTCGCCCGGCGATTTGCCGCAGTGCTCCGCCGTCGCCTCAGCTCAGCTCTCGTTCTTCTGATCCTTTCGCAGATCGCGGTTTTGTCCTCGTCCCGAGGGCCGGAGGCATCTCCCGGTCGCCGAAACCGGAAGCCGCTCGCTCGCGCTGCTGATTAGATTCATTAATCGCGAGAGAGAATGTTGAGGGCCACGCGTGGTATGCATTACGACTTCCATCTGCGGCCGTGGGATGCCATTGGACGGCATCATGGGACGGAAGTGTGCACGGTAAGGTAAGGTAAAGAATTTCGGGGTAAGCGCAGGAGGTCACCGGCGCCCCGTCGGTCCAAGTCCGTTCATTTTTAGTCCGTCCTCCTCCTCGTCATGAAATACGTTGAACCTCGCTCACCTCGCTCACTCACCGCAGTCGCAGTCGTGGTCGTGGTTGTAGTAGAAGCCAAGACGCGGTTTTGCCGGACGACGGATGTACCGATGATCCGCGTCGGCCCGGCCTGTCCGCCGAACCAGATGCTTTCTTCGCTGCAGCAGCAGCAGCATCACCACCTGGGGGTTAGTACTGCGGGTGCGGGTGGTGGAACCGTGGGGAGGCTCCGTCGGCGTCCTGGAGGGTCGTGTTACGAAACGAGACCCGATCGAGAGATCGCCTGTCCTAGATTTGATTAGGATTTACGTCGCCCAGGATTCTCTCCGGTCCCGATCGCCGCGAAGAACGGGGCCCGGATGCTGCTGCTGTGGGGTGCCAAGGAATCTGGCGGTTACGCTAGCAAAAGCTTGCAACTCTTTGCCTTCCTTAACAATCCTCGAGAGAGTACTATCATTTCATGCCCTCCAGCCGTATGTTCGAAGATCGTAAGCAAAGTATGCCGCCTGCCTGCCTGCGTGCCCGCCTGCCTCGAGTCCAGGGCTCCAGGCTAGGCGAAAGCGAGGTTTATGTTTTCCATGTTTTACCTGGTTGATTTGCTGATGCTGCAATGATTGAACTTAGCTCAAGCCCACAGATCGGAGGTCGGACAACAAGAATATTCATTAAATTTGGTACGTGGTCCGGGAGCGAAGTGTGCAAGTTAGTTATTACCACGCTAGCCGAGCACCCATCATCAGCACCCACATTTTCCATCTCGTGTTCGGAGACCTTTTGTTTGCTTGGCTGCCAACCCCACCCCCCACCCCCCACCCCAACGGCTGCGTTCGGTGGCCTTCCCCGCTCGAGTCGAGAGTTTGCGTAAGATCGAGGACGAAAAAATTAAACTGGAAATTACGCGCAATTATGAGTGGGCTTTGGACTACATGGGTCGTGCTATTTAATGGCTCGACTTGGCTGGGACGCACTCTCGCAAAGACGCAACCCAATCATTCGGGCAATCAGCTGACTCGTACTCAACATTCTACCCAAGCTCGGAGGGGGAGTTAGGATTCAGGAACCCTCCATAATCTGGAAGTTGGATGGAGGGAGCTCCGGCCTGACGAGGCTCATCACTGCAACTGCAGTCGTGCCCTTCGTGACTGGGCACAACATACAGAGTATGTCCTGCACTACAAAGACGAATCCTGCAAGCTTGGCTCGGAAAGATTCGCGAGCGGATGCAATGCTCAATCTGCATTCAGAAGGTGTCATATGCTCATATACAGATGAATGCAGTGAAACATTTACTGAAGATGTCTGTCCCAGCAGACTACGGTAGCCTACATCTAAATACAGCAAGTTAGATTCCATTCAACCCCACACCAGCGTCTCTCACTTCTCCAGTGAGGAATCTGGACCCAAGAAAGTGTAGCATCCTCAACAACATTATGCTTCGTACCCTAGGAACCAGACACTTTATAAAATCTATGCCTCGTACTTTCAGGTCCAGACATTTGGTGTGGGTTTGTGGGACAAGGTGGATTCATCCACATCCATTTCAGTGCCCTTACGTAGTCTAGGCCTCGCCTCTGATTGTTCAGCCATGACGTTTGATGGGTACTCCTGATTCTATCGTACAAACACCTTGAACTTCACCCCAGTCAATGGCAAAAGTCGCATGAGTCGCATGAGTCCATTGACTCGCAGGTTGGTTCATATTCTGGGCATAGAGGCCTCCCTCACTCACTCCCCCCCTCTCTCTCCCTCACCCTCGTCCTCTTTCTCGAGCCGCTGTGGCTTCAATATTTGCGTCGCACTGTATTTCCAACTGCCTCCGTTGCTCGCCACAAACACGAGTAGAAAGAAGATATGATATTAGTATTTTCCTTGAAGAAGAAAACAAACGGCCACCCAATCTCCATCCACCCCGTTCGGTCTTTACCTTCATTCGGCTTGCCTGTCCGATGAACAAACTTGTCCTCGACTCCTGTTCGTATGACAAAAAGCTTCCGTGCCGCTTGGGCGGCAACCATTTTTGCTTATGGTACTCTGCTGCGACCGTGACCTTGAGAACCATGTTTCCTGTGACAAGGAGATGAAGGTTATGTGGTGAGAGGGCGGTCACAGACTGGGCGAACATAATGCTCACGTCTAACCCTCTCACATGTTCCGATGATTCCTACAAGAAGGCAATGCTCATTGCTCACAAGCGGATTTAGGGACCAGTGTCGACTTTCTCAAACTCCCAAAAGGCCCGGTAGTTTGAAACAATGAACAATGATAGGCAGAATTGGCATAAAGAAAGATCGGATTAGTTCCCCAAGCGTTCATGTATGATGAGAACATGTGCATAACATGAATGACAAAAGTCCAAAGTGCAAATATCTTCCAGTCGGATAAATTTAAGGTTGTCAAGTCTATATTTATGCATGTTGACAATGGAGTCGTGGGTACAATGGACTTAGCTGACTGAAGGTGTTGGGCCCATTTTTGAAAGTGACAAACCATATTCAAGGAGCTTGCACAAAGTGGTCTAAAGGCACCGTAAAATCTAAGATGTAGAAAAAATCCCCACGAGATTCAAGGAGAGAGCTCCGGCAAAAGTTTACGCCAACCATAAGCCCCTGTGCAGTTTCCATTTAGTGATGCATCTGCCGAATGCGACTCGGCCTGCGATCTCCTCCTCCTACTCCTCCTCATTTTGGTCCGAACTGAAAAAGTACCGCAGGATATACCGAAGACTTTTGTGCCACTAACAGTGCATCCCGTCTAGGTCTTCAAACTTCATTTGCTAGGCAGCTCTGGGAAGCTCGTGGTAGGGTGACGTCGAATTGTGCAATGCAGTACATATGATTAACAAATGGGGTCCATATTCCGAAGACGACATGGACCTACCAGTAACTAGTAGGTCTCACAACTGTAAAAAGATTTATTTCTATGGATTTCACAACTGTAATTATCTCTAGCATTTGTACGGGTCCTCCTTCCAGAAGTAACAATTAGAGTACTCGAGTGTGTGGCGAGAATTTCATTAATTCATTTGTCGATAAAAAAATCTTCTACAAACGATAGTTCTAAGCAAATCGCACGCTCGAGCACTGTCAAGGTTGAGCCAAATCCACGAACTACAGCTGTGTCCTCGCGCCACGACGCTCCTTCAAGGACTTATTCCCTTCGTTTTCAATGTGCGAATTGTCGTTCGATTTAACCGGTCAACTGCACGTGAGAAGGCCTTAGGGCTTCGTACTCGTTTTTCCAGCATAACCAGTCGATCATTAAGGTTTTCTTAAATGAAATGGGACTGTTCTCTCCGCATCAGTCATTCAGATGAAATGAGGACTGAATGTCAAATGTAAGCCATGTGAATACAGTACCGTCCTGGACATGTTGCTCATCCATTAAACAAGATGCGTTTAATGACACATACAACTAGGGATTGCATGAGGACGCCATCCACAGGCAAAGTGGTGAATAAAACTGCAGATACTTATGAGTGTCGAGACAGGTGTTGTCCATGATCAGTGGAGACTAAACTAGACTGCTGTACAGCAGAGTAGTATCACCACCACTGCTCCACTGTACTTTCGAATTTGGAGTTCCCATTGCGCTCGACCTTTCCCTTCTGCTGCACTTTGTGCTCCTCGTCTTTCTAGAAAGTGGTCCATTGCTTGTCTGGTTCTGGGCAGAATCATTTTCTCCCGCACGAATGATAGACACACTCCACTTCACCTCGACAATCGGTCCCACTAACACATTACGGGCCTTATCCATGTCATGCCTAGAGCTTTCCCCATAGGATTAGTACTTTGCTAGGCTACAAAAACTTCCAAATTATTGGCCTACATTGTAGGCGATTTTTCCCCGTTTGTTCCAAAAGGTGCGAGTAAAATTTCGGAACGAGCAGCACTCATTTGGTGTTTACGTCTTTCTCGCGAACTCGCTTAATCCGCCTCCGCTGTCGCTTGAAACTTGGACACGGACCCTTGTTGACATAGTTTATCGAATTAGATCCACCTCTTATCGCAGGGATGCCATGGAGAAATTCCAAAGGAGAAACGGAAGACATAGGCAGGTTATGTAGATCCATCGTGTGGCTCTTATTGATTTTGTATTCCTGTATAAGTCACGTAACCATAAGGAGGAGTCTACAAGTAGTGTTATGCTTCTCTTCGTAAATCTTTGTTTGGCGTTCTATAAATAGAGATACTGTTTATTGAGAGTACAAATGCAAGAATTACTTTTGATTACATTATGGAAAATTTTCAGTCCCACGGATGGATAATCATAGAGCATGTTTGACCAAGTGTTTGAATTAATGCAGCTAATAACAAGATTGAGAAAATCCAGTAGTTTCATGAGACAAAGAACAGCCGTAGAAAGAGTACTGCCAGGATGCGAAAGTCGGCTATGCCCCTGGTCATATACGTTGTTCAGTCGTTGATGTGCAGATTTTACCGGCAAAACTTTCTCATTGATTTGATAGAATCTAGAAAATGAGCCCTCACTGGTTCAAAAGAGATGCAAAATAATCTCACATGGATGTCTCAACTTACGGAACGTTATCACTGGTTAGATACAAGTGCAAGTTATGAAATCAAGAGAGCAGTGGTGTCACTCGCTCCTGGTTACTGCCTTTTCCAGATCTCGTCCTTGTGGGTGCATTTCAATTGGGGATCCTTGCATGTCAAATTACTTCGCGTAGACTCGGGGAAATTCGGGGCTGTGGTGGATGAACATAAACCTCTTCGGCACGGAGTGGGGTTAACTATCTTTTTGGTTATGCTACTAATTTGTGGACATTTGCGTCGGTGGATAAAACATTATCTGTTGGGATTATATATATATAAATTTCTCATCACAAAAAAAGTATAATCAATGAGGACTCATTGCAAGCGATTCAAGGGTTGCTTTGATCCTTGAACTCTTGAATAAGGTTTACAAAACAATCTGCACACGGATCACCGCATTATAAAATGGAGACATTCTAAAGAGATCTAGCTAAAAAAGTTCAAGCAAAACCTTTCAAGACGCTGGGTTAGAACATTGTCCCAGCGAACAATTGATCTCGCCGAAAATAAAGTCTAGTACATCCAACCGTGAGAGCAGCGAGTAACTACACCAACCAGTGAGATAGAACACTGCAATCATTGATGATAATGGGAAGTCGATGGCAAGTCTCGTCTTGACGTAAATGACGAATCGAGATGACCATCCATAAATTCTAGTCACCTCTTCCAAATGTTCCAAAGAACGTCGAGAAGCGGGTTCAGCAGGACTCGGAATCATAACGAAATGAATTCAAGTGAGAGGCATCAAATGGTCGAGTTTCTGGCCCGTGCCTCCCACTGGAAGCACCGGCCAGTCGTTTATGAGCACGGTGACAAGGATTCCAACTGGGAGGTTGCCGCTAGCTGCAGTAGCTTGCTTGTATGGTTCATATAGCCCTAGCAATTTATGAAGACCTTCCTTTGCTTTCCGAGGCAGGTGGTAATGATCTGTGTAGTATTCAACCCAAACCTCATTACGGACTGTTACTTTCGGCGAGTAAAAACTGCATGCATCAAAGGGGGCTTGCTCCAAAATCTGTTGACTAAGATTTCCTGTTTAGAATTTTTCAAGATGGACAAGAAATAATCATGGAGCAAAATGTTTAAGAATATCCATTGATCCAATGAAGCCCTACCAACTTAAAACCAAAGCAGCAAGAGTTAGCACTAGTAAATCACGCTCTAGAACACTCTAGTGCACCGTATACTACAATAAATACTCTCGATGTCCCTCCATGTTCAGTTCAAGCCTCCTACGACATTGTTTTATTATTGTAATGCATTGGATCATGCCTAAAGCTAATAAATAACAAACAAAGACATATTTCATCAAATTTTACAGGAGTTAAATTTTAAAATACATAAAGTAGACTTCAATAGCACCACCAAAAAATAGAAAATTTGAAGTATTTTCATAATTTGACCACATATAGTTGTAATAACTGTGGAGATCATAGGACAGATTACTCAAAGGGTTGGTTTGAAGGAGTACGTCAGAAAAAATCAATCAAATTGTTACAACTTTGACTATGTTGGAAGTAAACGTTGGGTAGTTTAGTTCGTAAGAAGTACTAAGAACTTAGCAATGAATGTGCCGGCCGGTTTTTATCTTACCCTCCCTTGCTACCTTCCTCCCGGCTTGAAAAGAGGTGAAGGACACTGTGACTTTGGGCCAGGACTTTTGTACATCATGAATGGGAAGATTCCTTGAAGCAACAAGAGCACCTCGGTTGCTAGACTAGTGCTATGGAAATCTTCTCGTGCAGATATTTTTGAGGTTCGTAGCCAACCGAATGTGTCGGCAGTCCAGTACACCTCCTGTCAGTGAAAAGATTAAACGGAGACTCGAACGTAAAAGCTTCCCCACAGTGACAGTGTCGGGACGAGATCGGCTTCCTTCCTTCCTGGTCGAAGGATCGACAAGTCTTGGGGTGCTGAACGAAAGTGAAATCTTTTTACAAAGGGTCGAGACAACGATATCCAACTTGGATAAGCGAGGAGTAGAAAGAGCTTACGACGTCGTCGTCGTGGTGGTGATGCATCTTCGTTCCCTCACATACACATGCACTTCAAACCACTTAAGGATACGCCGTGCGAAGATAAAAGGTATACCATTGTTTCTGGTCAATGACGAAGAAAATGAGGTTCATGCTTGCATCGTTGGGTATACATCTCTTGTACTTAAGGTTTGTATGCTTGTCATGATTGAGAAGTCAGCGACTCCACGAGGTTTTGAAGTCTACCCTACACTCCTGTACGCTAAATATAATATTCCGAATGGTCTTGATTCTACTCGTCATACAACCATGTAATATTGTACCATAGATTTTTTTCCTTCTCATCTCGGTTTGTATACTGAAATCATCCTAAAGCCTTTTTGAAGTGAGGGTAAGTGTATCATAAACGATGTAATCTCACGAACTTTTACATCATTCGGATGACAATGTAATCAGCAGGATTCCGTTAGTTTTTTCTAATTGAAGTAACTTGATGCACGCAAAATTGCACGAGCCTCTCTTGATTTCTCTCAACAACTTCGGAGACATGATCTTTTCAGCTTATGTTTCTAAAGTTCCCCAAAAGCTGACAGAACCATGTCATCTGCTTAGTCCTTGTGCCCATAGCATCTTCTACAGTTCTTCTGAGACTTGTTGAAACGTATGCAGGTGTAACTTACCAGGGTATTGATGTCTTCGCTGTGATGAAAAAGCAAGAGTTTTGAAGAGAAAGAAGAGATCGATGCACTGGAACCGTGCAAAGAATCGAACGGAATGCGAAGGAATCGTTGGGCCCAGTTGAATGGAGACCTCTCTCCTGTCATCCGTATATTGTCAAAGCGATGATTAGTGATCATCGAGAGGTATTAATGCGAGGAACTTACATGTACAGTAAAGCCAAAAGAAGGGAAGAGCCCCAGTGATTCTTTTGTGAGCTATTTATGATTCACGTTTCTGGATTCTGTTCTAAATCACCGACCTCATCAAAATAAACGTATTAACACGGAGAGCATATTTACACCCGGGAGGTAGGTCATGTTCATGGGCATTAAACTTCCAGCCAAAAGGGGCAGTACAGTAATGTGATGTTCATGCGGACAATAGAATACCTCATTGTTGTCAGAGGACATACATTTTGGCGAGATATTGGGCAAATCATGGTACAACGAAAATGATTTGTTTTGTTTTGATAAATATGTGTCTGCAGTGAGAGAGGGAGAGTCTTATCACATTCTCGAGTATAAGTATGTGGTACGTAGGCAATATGTGGAGGATAGGGTAGGACAGTTGACTGTAGAGTTCTTGTAAAAAGGCGAGTTAGAATTTCAACTGCCAATTCCCGGTCGTTGGCATTATGAGCAGAAGTTCAATCATACTTGAGCTCTTAAAAAAAGTGTTCATTACTACAGAATCACTCTTGCGCTGTGAGGAAGAATCTTTGCATTAAATGGGTACACAAAGCGCCAGATTTTACTGTGAGCAGTTTGTTGCATGGGTGCGATTTGTGCACAGTTGCAGTCTGTACGAACACACTTGATTTCCTAGACGCATCTGGGAGAGCATATGTTTCTGAGAATATCTGCTTTACTTTACTTTGTAGATAAGATGTGTGTCGTAACTCGGACTGATCAGACATGATCCATGATAAAGCAAGCAGGAGTAGTACTAGCACGTAGTTACCACACTCCAGCAATGCCATGCCAGGCGCTTGCAAGCTGGTGCTTATGATTATTCACGTCGGACATGATTTGCTGTTCTACGTACCTGGCCTCTGTGGCAGTGGAGGTTGCTTGCTTGGATCAAAAGAACAGAACAGAACAGAAGGTGAACCAGGTGAAGTGGTGGTGGTTTAGATATCATGGCAGATTTCCAAAGAATCACTATGCGAGACAACATTGACATTCTTTCTATTCGACATGCCACAACGACTTCCGATTTCCCAATCCCTACAACCATGGGTCAACACCAGGGATCGCCATATAAACCTCACAATGGCTTCAGAAACATTCTTTTGACAACCATGTTCTAAGCTGCGTGACCGAACTCCTCACACGAGAGACGCTACTTTGCTTAAAGGGGTGCTGTGTTCTCGAGAGACATGGTTAGTGGGCACGCTGGAGATTCCCCTGCGGCACTTGTCACTTCTGGTGGTCCAAGAATTTGACGTCGGTTTGACAACTTGCAAAAGTGTTTGGCACTGCCCATCCTCCCCCCAATCAGTTTGAGATCTTCAACCATACACGACTAGACTTTTGGTGGTACAAGGAACTAGTCAATAGACAAACTCCAAATCATACAGCCTAATAATTCGGAAAAAAGGACTTCGTGTTGGAGGTTAGATATGCAATGATAACCCTTGTAAAAATGTTTAATCTCTTTACTGACATTTGCAACGGGGAACCGTGAGTCCTGGCGGGTTGAAAAACGGCAAAAGCGTATACGGGGTAGAATGGTACTCGACATGATCACCCAATTCTTGCAAGCTCGTTTCTGACGGACGGAGTCTCTCGGGCGAGGATTTGTAAACGGAGCAGGACAGGAGCAGAACGTTGATACGGTGAACAATTCTTATTATATTGCACATACTGACGGAGAAGAGATTCGAATGGAAAAACGGGCTTTTGTACAGCACGGCCTGCCGGGGGCTAAAGTAGGAAGGAAGAGAATCGGGAAAAGGTATATATGGACCCTGGCTCCGGTTTCTTAGCTAGTAGTAATGGAAGGTTGGGGGTGAGGTGAGGTGGAACTGGGTGGTGGTGTCATGCATGCACAGAACCGTTCAACAGTTGGCATCACTAGAACACTAGAACAGAGAGCTCATTTGAACTGATCGTAGCAGAAGCAGCTGCACAATGGGAAGTGTAGGAGTACTGCTCTTGTCGTTCACATGGTCAGGGAGACCATGCAATCTAGCAGCAGCTCTGCTCTGATACACCCAAATCTGCGAAGGCATGTCGTGCACTCAAATATTCTTCTTCGTCTCCAGTCCATGTGGCTCTGCTCCCCCTATCCTCATACAAGTTGTAAGACTTAAATACTTTCACGAAGGGTTGTTCCTTTTATTCACAACAACATTAGCTGGAGCTCAGAAAATCGTTAGAATTATTTTATTCCAGTCACCCCATTCCACGACAATAGCAAGATACACGATTCTCTTGCTGCGAGTGTCAATTGATGTATCAGGAGGGGCGACGTTTGGCCAATCTCCTCTAGCCTACGATAACTTTCACATCTACTTTATCTCAGATTCTCTTAGAGCGACCATATGCATGCATGTGGATCTAGAAAGGATCCAAAACGACTCGGTAAACGTGAGAAAGTCTCCCAAGTCTTCCGCCCCATTGACAGAGTACACCGAATAATAACATCACCCGTGTTTCAAGTTTCACAAAACTATGTATATATTATTTGTACTATACTCTCATGAAGTGAATTATATCCTGCCATAACCCTACTTTCGGATAGCTACAGAAGTCTCCATTTAGTTCCCAAGCCACAACAGTGGCAAAGGAGTGCTTTGACCATCAGCCCCCGCTTTTAATATCCAGGTTTCTGCGAATGCTGCTTGGGCAAACCCAAGCCCTCGAAGGTATTCCATTGCATTTTCATTTGTCTCAACATTCGGATGTGACCACTCATATATTACTCGACGCACAGTACCCTAAAACCGGTGCAGTATGGCCAATAACCGAAATCGTTACATAAAACCGTATGCAGGCCAAAGATTAATGCTATTAGGATCATAAAACCCAAGCATGTTGAATTCTAGAAGATATTTGCTTGTCACAACCTTGAAAAAACTTGTATGTCGACGGTGAATACTGGAAACATACTGGTAAAAATAAACCAAGCAGAATATATTACTACAATTTACCGAAGTAACAAGCACAGGTCGTGACAATGAGCAAGAATTCTACTCTCTTGAATAATAAATGAAATCCTAACTGAAAAACACTTCCGAGGTGGTAAGGGAGGTATATTTGGCCATAACTGCACTCTTCATTTTGTTCTTTTTACGAACAAGCCGATGTCTATGCCCTATGTCAACCTGAACGGCCAAAAATCTCTCTCCAAAGTCTTCCCCTTTTACAATTTTTTAAATAAAGAATGCACCTTGCTTTCGGACAGGAAGGTCCAAAGCTCGAAACCAATGGGACGCTATGAAGGACTCTGAGGACTCTGTTTTGAAGCTGGTGGTTGAGGAGTCCTGAGGCAAATTGGTAGCTAGTGCTCTATATCACGTGGTAGCCACGAGCCTTCATGCGCCCAATCACACGGGTACAAGATAACTCCGTGCGTACGTTCCCAGTCTTTCCCAGGGGAACTATTACCCCGCCCACACTACCCCATCAGCCACCTTCGCTGGTGTCCGGCCCCCAGCAACAAATCAAGGTACCCTCCGGGTGGGTGTCGAGCAGCTCAGAGATATCCTCTTTTCCACCTCTTCCTCCCTCGGTCCCTGCTTTATGCAAATGTACCCTACTACATGCACTGCTCGTTATAGTGTGAATGACACCAGGAATCGAGTGCCATACAAAATCCGGCTCCGCCAGATTTCAAGTGCAAAGAGACTAAAGCTTTGGAATCATATTCATTCTTTGATCTATTGTAGGTATCATTATATCGTCCTCCCTTGGATCTCCCCTGCTGCCATCTCCCGTGCAGATCAAAAATAACTCATGCCTCCCATCTATCGACTCTTTATACACTTGAATCGATGCTGCTGCCGCAGCCTCCTCCTCCTCACAACAGACATCGAAATGCAATGTCATGTCTGTCTTCAAAGTGACTCTGCACACATATGATGCTCCCAGCACCAAAAGATATTCTGTGAGGTGCTGCTGCCGTGTTGTAAGCTAGCAAGCTGGTGCTGCTCGGTTCAGTTTACTCCGGTCCATAGAAGCAGAAAAGACAGCATGTTCGTCCAATCATAGGAACCACTAATGTCATCAATTCTTGGAAGCCACCTTGAATGGCTCTGCGTCTTGGATTTCATACTCCGTGATGGGGGTGGTGGGAGAGATACACTATGCCACCACCCCATCACGAGAGAGTTACACAGGGAAGAAATCATTCAACGAAGATGGGCCTACCACGCTGCTGCTGCTGCTACTACTACTACATCTCTGTATGCTCCAACACAATTCACCTTATCCGCGTCGTCTTCGTCGCTGGGAATTCAGTTCAACGAACTGCGATGTTCTACAACGCTGGTTTGGTGGCTTCATCATAACATACGATGAATGTATAGAACAGTAAGCAGAGAAGGCAAGGCCATGACAGGACAAAGTGTCAAGGACGGACTGACTGCGAGTCTGTAACCGTGTCTGACGTGTGATACGGTTATGGGACTACGCCACGGCTCGAGGTGGACATTATGTGGACGCTCGGGTATATTTATGTGCAGGATCCCGTGGCCTGACCCGGCGAACCCCGGTACACGTGACGGTCGTGTTGGGACCAGCGAACGGCACCTCGTTCTAGAAGGTAGAGACCGGACGGCCGCTCGGTATTTGACTGCCACTGCCACGTATTCTCCGGGCTCTGCATGCCTGCTTTGTCCACGATCAGAGTTCTACAATTCCGCCATCGACGGAGGGTCTTCTCTCTTCAGGAGCTCTACGAGTCGAGTTCGGATCCTGTTATGCGCTCATGGTGTCTCATACTACAAAATGGACTCTTTGTGGTGGAAACGAGAAACATAATTTCTTTCAAAACGGCGTCCTCTGGCTTGCTTCGGCTTCGCATGCGTGGACGAGCTCCATCCCGTTGTGTTTGATTGATTGATCGATCGATCGTGCGTTTTCTAATTTGCCTCCTCTATGAATAGCTAGATTTTTTCTTGTTAAAGCACATCGTTCGTGATGAATGCAGGGACTTCGATTCATACACTTCCCCCTGCACTGATTGCGAACGATGTGCTTTAAGTCCCTTCCCCCCTGGTTGTTAATGTCTCTGCTATATTCTAATCTATCCACTTACTTAGTAAGTTCGATTGAATTGCAGTTCAACTTCCCATACCATGAGTGAGAAGGAAAGTGAGTCGTAGATTCAAAGCGGAACGTGGATGCACTTGGGCACGCTTAAAAACACAAGCCCGGATCGCAGGCGGCACAACTGCCTGCCTGCATGCTTTCTTGCCTGGAGAACAACAACCCACAAAAAAGAGATGCAACGAGAAGGGAATTTCGGACTTCCGGATGAATGTCTCACGGCCTCCCGAGGTGCAGACAATGCGATTTGCTAGCGGTTTTTCTAGTTATTCGTCCATCGGGAAGATTTCGTGAGCACCAGGGGACCGGATGATTTCAATGGTTCTTTCAAAAGAATGAAAAGAGGGGAAAAAGCGGAGTTCGGGTAGGGCAGGACTTCTGCCTGGAGATTTATTCGTCCATAGAAAAAGCTGGAGGGTGGAAAGGATCACTACTTGATAAGGAGATAAGAAGAAACGGGAAAGGGCCTCGATGTTGCAAACGAGGGGAGGGGGCTCGTATTCATGGACTCAGATGGGGATGATGTCGAGCAGAGAAGGGGGAGGGGGGGTGACGATACTGCGTCAATCAGCGGGCAACCGAGTTCCAATCCAGCAGCGGCACTGCCTTCCAATGTCAACAGGGAAAGTACCACCAGATCTCTCGATCGATGATTCAGCAGCTGCTTCGCGCTATTAATGGAATGCTCTGCATGGTATCATCGGCGCAACTGTAACGGGAGTCTCGGCATGGTGCTGTCACACCCAAGAGTACAGCGGTCGAGGCACTTTACCCCGCGGGTCAAAGCTCTGACCCCGGCCGGCCGCTGCCGTTCCCACGAGAGCAGAACCAGGTCCGGAAGCCGGCCGTACCCGGTGAAGGGCCAGGGACGAGGGTCAATTCGGCGAGCGACGACTGCCCGGCCGCCGGTGAATGTGGTCGAGGGAGGGAGGGACGAAGAAGAGTGAAGCCGAAGCGATCGAAGCAGAGGCGAGAACAGATTGGGTGCATGTGAACTGCGCTGGAATTGAAGCCTTTCTTACATTGCGATGAGTCGTCCTGACGCAGCAAGGCAGGGCACGGCAACGGAAGGGAAGGGAAGGGAAGGGAAGGGAAGGCGAGGCGAGGCGGGGCGGACGAGGAGAGAGAAAGAGAAAAGGCTAGGCCGATCCACGCCACGCCACGCCACGCCAAGCTATGCTAGGCTCAGCTCAGCTCTCGGCGAAAAAGCTCGTGCCCCGAGGCGAGGGACGCTATTCGAAAAAAGGAGGAATTTCATCAGGGCAGGGAGCATCATGACAAAACAGCAGATGCATTGATCCTGTGTCGTGTGGGCGGTGAAGAATTTTCACCCTGTTTGCCATTCGCTATGCGCTTGCGCTGTGCAGTTATTAGTTGATTAGGTGCTCTCAGGTTGGCGGCACTGCGGGGAGAGAGAAAGAGAGAGAGATTTCTCTCTCTCTCTCTGCAGAAGGGAGGCGAGTAGAGGAGAGCAGAGGCGACGAGAAGAATTCCAACAGGCTCCCGCAGCAAGGGAAGGGAAGGCCAAAGGAAAGGCCAGGCCAGAACAGGTGTTCAACGGGGCCTGACGGAGAGTGGTGCGGGTGCGCACTGTGCATGGGTCGCGGCGGGTATAAAACAGTACAAGTGGGTAAAGAATGACAGGTCCGGCTCGGAATCCCACGCGATATGATTTGTGAACCAACACCTCTATCCACACACTCACTCGCTCGCTCTCGCTCACACTCAATCTCACGCCATTGCGTAATGCCATGCGATGCAGAATTGCATCCCGAGTTGCATGCCACTCGCAGTGGACAAGACCAGATCCGCGAGAGGCCGCATGATGGTCGGTGCTAATCCTCCCAACCATCGTCCGTCCTTCCTTCCTTCCTGCCTTCCAATTATGTGGGCAACGGTAAAACTTCCGCGATGCCGAAACAAAAAAATCCACGGGGCGTCCGCTGTGGATTTTACGATGGGCAGGGGGAGTGGGGATAGTGGAGAAGGAGGAGGAGGAGGAGTAGGAAACGCGACATGCATTCATTAGATCATTCGTTCATGCACAGAAACCCAACAGGGTGTCGAGTGAGTTGTTGTTGTTCATTTCTCGCATGTCGTCGTCGAGCCGAGCCAGTTCGACCTCCGGGCATTAAGTGATATTAAGTGATATTCCCGGGATGGGATGAGGAGCACGGCAGAAGCTCGCAGCAACGTCTGTCAGCGAGGGCACCCGATTTGCGCCCGGTTGGACTTCGTCAGCAGCTCCGTCAACATCGATATCCGGAGGTCATCAAAGTCCACTCTTTGTGGCGCATTTCAAGGACGGTCCACTCATTCACTCGTCCCAAAGTTGGGAAACCATCCGAGCCATTAGACTAATGTTCCTGAACCGCAGTAAGTACGGTGGTCAAACGCCCCAAGACTGCCGACGAATCTGCTTTTGCTCCTCGAGTCCTCCCTCCGATTCAACCCCCGACGTCGGCGTCCCCTCCCCTCCCCTCTCTCAAAACTGAAGCGAGGAACCTTTTGCAGGCAGCGGCCCCGCGTCCTTGAGTCCAAGAAATACGTTGTACCGGCTATGGAGCGGCGGTGGGCGAGGGGCGAGCGTCGCTAGGAAGTAGTGTAGAGCGGAGAGTAGTACATACAGTAGGTACTGTTGCCGTGAGGGTAACATAATCTTCAAGTCGAGCAGCGCCCCACGTCCTCGAGAGCGACGGGACACCGTAGATGAGCTATATTCTGCACTACACAGGAAACACGGGAGCAGGAGCTAGTAATAAGAACAAGGTCAAGGAACGAAGCGGAAAGAGTACAATCCAAATTGGAAGAATCTTCATGATTGATGGCGACAGCCAGAAAGAAGAAAGAGCTGAGCGAGAAAGAAACGAAGCGACGGACGGAAGGAAAGAAGACGAAGAAGAAGCAGCAGCTCGGCCGCGTCGATCGATCGACCCACCCACCCACCTCCGACGATGCGAAACAGAGCAAAAAACCGCAAGTTCTATTTCGCACGAAAATGCTGTTTGTCGGACGGGCACTGTCGGATGCCTGTTTGCGAGGTGACCGGTTGGAAACGAAACATCTGGACCTTCGAGTCCCGCGAGTCCCACCGTGGTACATGCAGTACATGACACCAGCTTACTAGTATTAAAATGTGTGTCTGGATCAAAAGATCGCAAGCGTTACCTCCGGCCCATCTGCGGCAAGACATACACAAAGTGCCAAACTCGGGGCCCTCCGCTCGCAGGCGGGAGTGATCGATGGAGTGAGCTTTGCGTTCGCTCGCGTGCTGGGGTCTACCAGCGGCGAAGGATTCGCAGGCGGAGGCGATCCGCTTATTCAATCGGGCTCAAAACATTCTCTCCCTCTCATGGAGCGAGCGCTCATGCTCGAGGGGGCGGGAGATCGGCGAGTACGATGGGGAGGGCCGGGGGTGCGGTGGGGTTGGGAGAGGTGGGCTAAATTGAGTCTCACGAGGGCATAATTCAACGCTCAGCATTCAACATATTGGGCAAGGGCCACGCTCCGACTTCTGATCCAGATAGAGTTGCAAAAAGCGGATTTCGGCTTACGGATCCGAGTGTCAAGAAAAGTGGTTCTGTCGAATCTCTACATGTTATGTTCACGGGGACACAAGTGGTTCTACCATACAAATTCTTGTCTGGTTGATATATGTGATGATTGATGATTCCGTGAAACAAACAAAGACCGATGCCTTTTTTATTTCTAATCGTTCGCCTCGGAGATTCTCGGTGCTGCATGACATCCTCTCGTACGGGTGGGGTTGGATGATTTTCTCTCCTCTCCTTTCCTCAGGTAGGGATTGCTATATTAAGCTGATCTCAATGCATAAAATAAGACCCTGGGAGAAGGGAAACCGTTCTTTGCGTCCAGCAGCTAGCCGCGAGCCCCAACCGCATGCATGGGCAGGAATGAAGAAGCCTCGGTTACCACTTCCTCCGCCTGCCGAACATGCTTTTTGTGTTTTTGCGCGAGCAGAACCTTTAGGTTGTGATGATTGCGCACTCGCCCTGCTTTCTTCAGGTCTGATTTCCTTTCTGTCCGGGGCCGCCACCTCTCTCCCTCCCTGCCTCTCTCACCCTCACCCCCACCCCCATCCCTCTCTCTCTCTCTTTCTCTCTCTCTCGCTCTTTCTCTTTCTATCTCTCCCCCTTCTTTCCTCTTAACTTTCATGTTGTTTCAGATCCTCACCAAACATTTTTGAATTCATGAATCTGGTATCGGAGTGGTGACGGAAGGGGAGTGGGTGGTGAAACCCATGTACTGTGAGAGTACTCGAAAACCTCAAAAAATATATCGCTTGGGGTGGGAATGCGATCGTTGGATTACGACTTTTTGTCGTCCCCTATGATCGAAGGCCCGA